CAAAATGTCAAAATCTACATGTCATTTTTTTAATTTTTGGAAAATTCCTGGAACGAAGGAAAGATGGTTGCAATACGAATTATAAGTCAAAATTAAAATATCTTTTCTTCCTATATAATAAAAGACTTTTGTTTTTGCCATGTGGCATCTTTTATGCCTAAAATTATACAAAATGAAGTGTCTATTTTGTCATTCTCCTTTAATTCTAATCAACAATTCAAAATGGGTGATGTTAATAAGACACTCTTTACATATCCTATTGACCACTTTATAAAAAGTCAACATATAATTAACTATTTATAATCAGTTTTTTCGGAAAACAATGCAATTTTAGCCAATAAAAATATTTCAAAATTCAATTAAGATGTCTATATGGTAAAATAAAATGTCTTTTTAGCCACCCTTTCAAAATATATGGGATGTTTGTCCTCCAATTTCCCCCGCATCCCTACATCTAGTCATTCCCTCTTAGACCAGATGCTAGAGGGTGCGTGTAGGAAACTCCCATTACTTTTTCCTTGTCAGCGTGCCACGTCATCATTTTTCCACTTTTTTCCCTCACCAAAAGCCAGAGAGTGTGCGAGAAACTTTCTTTACTTTTTGTTTTTTGTTTATTTTTTTTTAAAATAAAATTAATTGATTTTGATGATTTATATTTTTTTAAATGAATAATAAACATAAAATTTATTTAAAAATAAAAACCAGTTCATTAATTAAAAATAATATTAAAAGATATATTAAAATAAACAATATTAAAAATTAAAAAAAAATACTAGAAAACAACAAATATTAAGACAGTGGGGATTACGTATTCCAGTAGTGAATACAAACAACTGCGGCTTCCTGCTGTAGGAAGGGGATTGAGGGTTTATTGAAAGCGTGTCTAGTCTTTACACATCTAGGTTGCGCTCGACTGTTTACAACAAAAAAACTCAAATGGAAAATCTTTTTAAAAGAAAAATTATTTCATTTTTTTTTCTTTTCTTCTGAAAGTGATATTTATTTTGTAGGTTCTATTTTTTTTGGGTTATTTTTAAAAAATATACAACATTTTGATTCGACTTATAAAAAAATGTTAATACTTCTTTTTGAATTTAAACAATAAGCCTATAATTGTTATTTGACAAATTTTATATATTAACATGTTTCAAGCTGATTTTTGTTTAGTTGGATTTGGATCATAACCACCTTAAAAGATCTACATAATAGTTCATATACCGTTTGACAACTTTTAGTGAATGACTATGCCCGATGAAAAAAATGACATTTTTAACCATATGAACTATTTTATGTTTAAATAAATGGTTTGTTTGAAATCTAAATTAATCATAAATTAAGTTACGTTTTCCATTAAAATAAGCAAATGTCAAACAAATATAATTAACTATAATATTGCATAGAGATTAATCTTCATATAATCAAACACTTCAAAAAATATGTTATACAAAAACTGTTCCTTTTTATTTCAAATTATACTTGATTTTTTTTTGTGTATCTCCTATATATCCGAGTCATAACTGCTTAGATTTACCTTCGAAACAAAAATCCTTATATTTTGTGTTATGTTCCGTGTACACAACATATCTTGGCAAAATCTTTGAAAATTGACCAAGAAAATTATAGTTGCATCAAATGTTTCTTTATCAAATTTAGCACTAAAAGGATACATGATAAAACAAATTATGATAATAACAAGCGGTCTATGATAGAGTTAGTTTAGTTCGTTACAGTTAGGAGTTAATTTTCCTCTTTTACCCTTCTTACCCTTTGTATATAAACTCTCTTTCTTCTAAATTGTAACTTAACTTTTTCATAATCAAATAATTACTTTTCCCTCTTTTGTGTCCTATGTTCATCATGATGGTATCAGAGCTATGAATGCTCATTTTTTTTGTTGACTTTCACCTTATCATCCATCGACTCTCGATCATTCTTGATCTTTTCGTCCTTTTCTTTTCTCCGATTCAAATTCTTTTAACCTCAAATTATCTCAATTTGAGATTCGTCGGTGATTTTCCTTTTAATATCTTGGAAGGAAAACGATTTATAAGATGAGTGCTTGTAAGTACACAGTCACCCAATAATTTCAATGGAAGTTTGGATTGAAACAACAAAGTTCTAGATGTTTCAAGAAGATGCTTATGCTTGCGCCCGACAACCTCATATTGTTGAGGGGTATGTCTACAACTGGTTTGATGAATGATTCCTCTTTCTTGAAAATAAGCAATGACTTCATTACTAGAACCTAGTTCAAAAGCAGTATCAGATCGAATAATCTTGAAACTTTTATGAAATTGGGTTTTTACCATTTGAACATTGAAAGCATTTGCTTTTGGTGCTTAACAAGTGGGTCCATGTTGAACGAGTATAATCATCTACAATGGTTAAGAAATAAGATTTACCATTGTAGGTTTTAGTATTATAAGGACCCTATGTGTCAATATGGATGAGATCAAATGACGAAGAAGTATGAATAAAGCTATGACTAAATGGAAGTTTATGTTGTCTAGCTTTTGGACAGATTTCACAAACATGATCAAATTTAACATGCATATTCTTCAGAAATGGTAGAGTTTTCAACTTGTACAAAGGGAGATGTCCAAGTCTCTTATGCAATAGAGAAAACAAATTATATTTTCACAAGTTTCTACAAACATAATTGAAAAAAATAACAGAAGGATTTGTAGGAACATTTGAATTGATTGATAGAGCAATGCCTTTGTTTGAATATGTATTGGAATGAAGAAAGTATAGGCCAACTTGATGTCTACCAAGAACCAGAGGCCTCTTCGGAGGAGGGCCCTACAACAAGAAGCAAAATTGGTCTGAAAACACAACCAATGATCTCAAATATCGACATAATTTGCTTATGGATAACAAGTTGAATTTGAAATGGGGAACATAAAGAACATTATGCAAGACAACATTTTCAGCTAGAATGATACTACCAACCTCATGTGCACTTATATTTTGTCCATTT